AAATAAGCTCTTAGAAGGAGAGTGAAGTTTGAAGCGATTTCTCTCGCGGTCACCATGAGATGTACTGTTATGACAGCGACACTGATTCTTATTATTACCCCGTGCAGCGATATTGCTTTCGCGTCTGTATCAGTATTCTACGCCAATATATCGCCTCGCTCGCTGTCGCTGCACAATCTGTCTCGCTTGCGCGCTCTATCACACACTCTCCCCTTCTCTCTATCTATCTATCTTTCTCTCTTTCTCTCTCTGTCTCTTTCTCTGTAACTCTCCCTGTCTATCTCGCACTCTCTCTCTCTCTTTCTAACTCTCTCTCTCTCTCTTTCTAACTCGCTCTCTCTCTCTTTCTAACTCTCTCTCTCTCTCTCTCTCTCTCTCTCTCTCTCTCTTTCTAACTCTTTCTCTCTCTTTCTAACTCTCTCTCTCTCTATCTTTATCTATATCGCCCCTCTCTTTCTTTCTCTTTCTTTCGCTTGGTCTGTTGTTCTCCCGCTCTCTCGCTCTCTCGTCTTCCTGCGCCTCTGTACGCACGCGTGAGTGTGTCTGTGTTAGGTGTGCGCGCGTGTGTGTCTGTGTTGTGTGCGCGCGTGTGTGTCTGTGTTGTGTGCGCGCGTACGTGTTTTTGTGTTGTGTGCGCGTGTTCGTGTGCGTGTGCATGTGCGTGTGCGTGTGCGTTGTGTGTGTGTGCGAGTGCGTTGTCTGTGTGTGTGCGCGCGCGTGCGTGCGCGGGCGTACAGAGTAGGCGCGTGCGTGTGCGTATGGTGCGTTTGGTGTCTGTTTTTGTGTTTGTGGCATAGAAATAATACGTGTACAGTTCGCTTTCATTCACGCGCAATTATGCATTTACGCGAATCATTGCGCTTATTCAGCTCACCATGCACGTAACAAAACAACAACAAAAATATGAACCCGACTATCCAAAAGAAAAAGCAGTCCCAGCATTTCGATGGGTGGTACGAACCGATACGGTGACACCGAAGAGTCGTGATTGGGATTTAGGAAAAAGTTGGTATTCAAATGAGCGCTGTATGGTAATGGCCGCATCGATAAAGAATGAATGAAGCCAGAAAGATCGCCGTGCTGCGGCACATTATGCATGACGCCAGCACGCATGACGCACGTCACACACACACCACGACTCTCTCTCTCTCTCAACTCCCCTAATTAAATAATTAATTGTCGATTTATTACGCGCGATTTCTGAGCTTCTAATTTCGAGTTGTCAGCTTGAGTAATTTCGTCGCTGACTCCCCGATGAGCAGGCATTTTTTTACGTTTGGTCTTTGTGCTGCGTACGCCTTCGCACGTAATCGAAACTATAGACCGTACTCGATTCATTATGCATAATCAATTCATTAATTATGGTGCATGGAATGGTGTTATAGTCACCAACACTTTAAGCACCACACTAAGGATGCTTCATAGCATTAATAAAATAGACGATAGATCAAATGTATCGATCTATCATATATCTATCTGCCATACCATGAGTGTTCTCTCTAGTTGGATAAATCAGAAAGATTCGGTAATACCGGATCATAAACCGTGCCATCTTCGCAATAAATGTGATATCATCTATGCAAAAATCGTGTATAAGTAGAATACGATCGAATAATATATCGATCTGAACCATATCTACTCCGTCATTAATCACGTTTTAATCTTAATCACTTTTTACAAGCCTCGACGTCATACTGCTGATGCTATAAAACAACATTCGCATATATTACTAGCTACAGGCTACGTATGTGAACGATATCTCCTGGTGCAGGCAGCGTGGGGGCAGCTGGCCACATACATTTTGAAGAACAATGCAATAATATACCCCACAATAAATCTAAATAACCCCCAAACTATATGTAATAAACGATAGAAGGAAATGATGCATTCAGCACAGTAGCATTCCATACGTGGTTTTATTTCTCGATGCCGTAAATAAGCTTTTCCCGTGACATTACTCTGTTTAGTTAGAATGCGTAATTTTGTCCGCTCTTGGAGATAGCTCAGGCTGCGACCCTGACATCACCAATAGATAATAACCGCTGCCGCCATCTTTGTTACTGCCGCCATCTTTGATGCTTCGTGCGATCTAATCTATGCTAAACTCGCCGGCTATCGAGTGAGAGCGATCGCATTATTGCTACATCATGACTTACCAAAAATAGCGCCTATAAATATACATGTGAATACGAGAGATTATGAATATAGATAAAATAAATATAGAGAATATAGAGAATATGAATGAAGATAATATGATAATATAAATATAGATAACACAGAGAATATGAATATAGATCATAGACCTATAGGTAATATAAATATAGACCCCTAGATAATATAAATAAAGATAATATAGAAAATATGAATCATGATAATATAGAGAATATGAATAATGATAATATAGAAAATATGAATACAGATAATATAGAGAGTATAAATATAGATAATATAAATATAGATCATATAGAGAATATGAATTTCTCACAAACGACGTTGCGCTAGAGTGAGAAGGCGTGACCAGAGAGGCCAGCAGGGGGCGTATTCGTCGGTCTCCTCTGTCGTCGTTCGTACGCTTGTCGCATTTCCAGCCATTGTCGCACTAGGCGTTATTTCCATGCTTGCTGCTGTTGCCGCCCTCGCAGCTCTCGCTCCCTCACTACCTGACATACGTCTCATAAACGACGTTGCAGGAGAGTATAGGGAGCGAGAAGGCGTAATCGAGTGATAGCACGTGCCTTAGACCTGTGTAGATGCAGATACTCGTGCGGCTATGATGATGTCACGCGAGATATCGCTGACGCAGCGTTTGCTTCGACAAATGACCGCATGGGGGCGCTGCGCACAAACGCGGGCCGCGGCGCGCGCTGCTGCGCAAATACTCGAGATGTGAAGAGATTTTGCGCGCAAGGATGAATATAAGAAGAAAGGAAAGTTTGAGAGCATATATATATATATATATATATATTTCTCGGTGCGCCGTACGAGAGTGCAAAAATATCTCCTCCAGTGAATTGCAGACGTTCATATTACTATTATGCTATCTAACATTTTACTCCGTACGTTCTGTTTTTCCATCGCAACAACAGTTGCTACGTATAGCATTTAACAACCATGTCAAAATTCTCGTATATGACGCAAAGATTCATACAAACTGACATATCGTGTGCCTTCCGACATTAAACGCTCGACGCGAACCCATTGTGTGAATAAATATAACAAGATGATAGTTGTCAAGGTAACAAGCAAGCGTCATTGAGACGTCCACTGAACGCGATATGTACACGCTTCTAATTGGACGCGTCACATGTCATAGGAGCGATGCTGCGAGGCAGAAAAAAACTCAGGCCCTATTACGCGAATATCAGACAAGTTCATATTATATTTAAATGTAATGTAATGTAATTTTACGTCCTGCAATAGAAGGAACGTCGCGCTATAATAATAATAATAATAATAATAATAATAATAATAATAATAATAATAGTAATAATAATAATTATAATAGTAATGTATGAGAACAGTCATACTGACTACTTGACAAGCGTGCGTTTGTGCGCGTACGTGCGCACACGACATTTCATACGCACGCACACACGGCTATGCGCACGCACACGTGTGCAGAATCACGCACGCACAGCTACGCGCACGCATGCGCCCCCCCCCCATGCTCGCGTCCCACGAGCGCGCTGCAACGCGTGGGTGCACCCCCGCATTCAATCTATCTGCGTCCATGAGCGCGTGGCGTGGCCGTCTCTCTCGCTGAACGTAACAATACGTCAGTATGCTTTGCGTTTTTAATATGAAGTCGACGCAGATGAAAACGCGCGCGCTTCTTTGCATAATGCTGTGTCGTTCTTTAGCATCGCGGCCTCTTCACTTCTCAATTGCAGCTGCAATATTGCATAGATATATGAAATCATCCGTCACTGCAGACGGCGTCTGCGAACGCGCAGCCATTTGTTTAAACAACAGCTTATGGAGGCAAGCCATCTGTCTGGTTTATGCTTCCGCGTATCCCTTTATCTTTATATATATATGTGCAGCCATTTTGTTCGGAGGCGCGCGTATTTTGCTTTAATAAGCAGGCATAGCGGCGTCTACAACGTTCGTAACGATATGGCGTGAGTCATAAACTACTGACGGGATCACGCAGTGATGTCGTGCCTGTATTCCGTCTAAATATCGGCAGCACGCGGGGAATATATATATGAGTCCTTCGAGACACACTAATCTCAGGAACAAACATTCGTGGAATCTCGTAGTTCTCTCCAACGCTGTATCGCTACTGTAAAACGCACCGCCTCGCACTCACGCGTCGTTTCGTCTTTTAGAAGTACCTGTCGCAGCCGGAGGTGTGTCCGCGCGAGATGTACGACCTCATGCGGGAGTGCTGGCACCGGGACGAGGGCGACCGTCCCAACTTCCGCGAGATACATCTGTTTCTACAGCGCAAGAATCTCGGCTACACCCCTGGCGAATTGGCCTGCTAGCCACGCCTCGTATACGCAAACCCCGACCCGAAGCATATGGAGAACGTCCGAGGAAGTTTTGGAAGGAGAAGTTCGTCGGATTTCGTTGGAATATGGGGGATAGTATTTTATGATGAATTCATTTTATTTCATCCGTTAGTAACGTGTTATGGTGTTTGTGTCGCGTGCTGCCTCTGGTGGCAAGCTCAAGCAACTGCATCCAGCCTGATAATATCACCTAGATCTAACCAGCGGAATCCTGTCTAAACTGTTGCTAGCCGTTCATATAAATAGATTTAGCACGAAAATTATACCATGAAATTTACTTCTCTGTCCCAAGACGTTCCCTAGACGATTTCTAAACAGCAGATTTCTAGAAGTTCTAATAACATCGTGTTGTATACCGCCATCTGCGCATTCGCGGTACCCATTATGTCCTACACGTTGCACCACAGCTTTGAGTAACCCCAAGACCGTAGCCTGAGCTAACGAGTAGTGAGAGGTGAAACGATTTGGTGACTCGTCTACATGATGACTAGCGAAGGCCGCAGCTCGTTGTCAACTAAAGTAGAGTGGTGCGGGCAAAACGAAACGAGGGTTTCATGAAGGAGTTACGATGAATTACACTTATTTTAGAGTTAATTACATCCAGTGGGACCTTTTCGTAATCTTTCTCTCCAAAGTCCAAGGGGCAGCTATTCTGCATGCTACCCCCTAATCCACCAGAGACTACGGCCCTCGTAACTGGTTTGTTAGCCACGTTTGTGCTAGCATGCGTTCAGTCATGGTTGCATCCCATGTCCTGCACGACACCCTGGGTAGCTCACAATACTGTTGTCGCAGTGTACGAGACTCGGCTACTTGTTAGCAGTGAGTGTTGGTCTGACCACAGAAAATACATTCCAGTTTCCAAATGAGTGCTCAACACACACACACACACACACACACACACACACACACAAACCGCATGGTGTGTATACGTCCTAACCTATCGCTATATTTTCTACGTGCAGCTACGGTACGCTGTTGTACATGGCGACGCAGATCGCGTCGGGTATGAAGTACATGGAGTCGCTGAACGTCGTGCACCGCGACCTGGCGACGCGCAACTGCCTCGTCGGCCACCACTACACGATCAAGATCTCAGACTTCGGCATGAGCCGCAGCCTCTACAGCAGGGACTACTACCGCGTGCAGGGCGCCGTCGTGCTGCCCATACGCTGGATGGCCTGGGAGAGCATACTGCTGGTACGCACGGTGGTGGTGGTCGTGGTGGTGGTGGTGTTGATGTTATTTTTGTTGCTGCTGTTGCTAGTAGCAGTGGCACTAGGGTCGATATATAATTGTACAATATTCATTCCTAATCAAACCAACTGATGCTCAAATCAATGCAGATTACCAGAACTGAATAATAATAAATTTCGTTAATTCATCACTCCTGGTAGCAGGCTAGCAGAGCATAGATACCCGCGCGTGCAATATCATCATTAAACATATGCTTCAATAACCCCCCACATTATTGACCGTACACGTTCCGCCACCAGGGGCGCTTCACTAGCAAGAGCGACGTATGGTCATTCTCGGTGAGCCTGTGGGAGATCTTGACCTTGGCCAGGGAGGCGCCCTTCGGTGAGATGACCGACGAAGACGTCATAGACAACGTCAGCAACTTCTATAGAGACGAGGGCACGCAGGTTTGTTGACGAACAGTCACGCATCCACGCATCCTCTGTCGCGCGCATGCAGACACGTAGTTTCTCCGTCATTCCGCGCGTTTTAACGATATGCTGGAAGGAAGGACTCGCGGAACTGTAAAGTTATTACTGTTACAGTTACTGTTTGCTTCTAATTCGCTGATATATCGTCATAGAATAGAATATACTTACACACAAACACACACACTCGCGCGCACATACGCACGCGCGCGCGCGCACAACACACTCGCGCACGCGCACGCCAACACAATCACACTTCCCCACACAATATATATATATATATGTATATATATATATATATATATATATATATATAT